CTTGCCGTGTGCTGTCTGCTGCAGCAGGCTCCGTTGCTCACAGAAGCAGCATACTGGCTTCTTTATGTTTATCCAGGATGATTTGCACCCACCAGCTTTAGGCACAAGGGTTGCACAGAGCACAAGAGGGCTTGGAGCAAACTGCTGAAACAGATGGCTTGCTCTACCTGTATGCAACCTCCTGCTCAAGCAGCCCAGCATAACTCAGTTCAGGTCTTTCATTTGCTCAAAATATCACCTAGCATCACAGGAAAATTGTATCCAGATCCAGTTTTGACCTTCTGGATACATAATCCAAGTGGAAAGAAGCTCCCCCTCTTTGGCATGGCTCTGCTGGCTGCCCACACTCACCCTCTGCCAGGCAGAGCTCTCCCTCCTTCAGTCTCACCTGGTCAGTTTTCTGCACTGTCCCACCATGCCACTCTCTCCACCTTTGCAAGATTCCTACTTCCTGGGAAGAACTGGAGGCTATAACATTCCCAAATGTCACGGCTGCCCGCAGTGGGAAAGTCCCTTTATTAATTACTTGCATGTTCCCAGTTCATGTTTTCCACATCAGATGCTTCCATTCTGCCTGCAGCCACAGAGGTGGCTGTACTGATGGGGACCAGTGTTACTCATATTGCTGAAGGGAAAGTTGTACAAGCTTAGGAAAAGTGCCTTTGCTTCTTTTTGCCCCCAGCCCAAGTCTCTTCTTTCTTACATGAAACACATGTGGCAGCAAGCTTTGCTGCATCAGGCAGTGAACATCAGCTTTAAGTTTTGCAAGTAGCATGCTTTAACAAAACTTCCACATGAGAATGGGAATGACACCAGAGAAAACCTTCCAAGTGGGAACCGATTTCAAATTACTTGACCTGTATTTACTCTTAAGGCATAACAATAAAAACAGTTTAAGCTGGTAGAGTACATCTCATCCCTAAGGATCCCCAGAAATGCGAGGATATATAAACAGCTCATCCTTCAAGCAGAGAAATGTAGATCTTCCAGGGACACAGAACACCAGTTTAAGAGATGCCAAAAATAAGCTTCAGTCTAAAAGTAAAAACAGAGACTAATGTAGCCAGCCAGAAATGCAGGCCCATTAGACTCCATTTCTGTATCTGTGGGACATGGGTAGGATCTTAAATGACCTAATTTGGACCTTGGTTTTACATGCCAAAATGACTCCTCACACTGTTTGCTTGGATATTATATTAGCTCAAATAAGGTGGAGAAATGCTTCCTACTGCATCTACCACACTGCTATTTGGAGTGTCTGACTATCCCATAATAGTCTCCAATGAAAAAGTCTGAGGAGGTAGGGATACTTCTCATTTGGTCATTTTTTTTCAAAGCTTTCAAATTAGTAGCAGTCATGCTATTATTAGAGAGCAGGAGGGAAACACGTTTTCCTTGTTTACCACCGGACTAATTGTTCAGAGCTGCCTGTTTCTTATCTCTACAGCAGCTGCAAATGGGAGCCTGAGATATGTGGATTTTAATTGCAAAACGTTACCAGAATGACAGTGTTAAGTGTTCCCTGGCTTCCAACACGCTAGCAAAGTATGTAGACTTGGAGCAACAAACTGGAGTCCTATTCCAAAGGGGTATCTGCATATGTACATACACATGCAGACAGCAGGTTTGCTTTCGGTTTTAACAGCCTGGGCCAAGATCCTGCTGGATGTTGTGCTATCTTTCCTGGTACATTTGCTGTGAGCCATGCGTAGTCCTCAAGATTAAATGAGAGGAAACAGTTAATAGGTATCTGCAGCAGCAGTCACAAAAGGATGAAGTTAAGGGACCAACTCTGGTAAATCAACAGCACCACAGCGACAGCACTAGACGGCTCTCATGATTAGTGTGGCAATCAGAAAATTACAGTTTAATGTGTTTGCTGGAGGAAGCAGCACGAGAATCCTTCATGTACTTTAAAGACTGATTAAAACCCTACTGCCCCTTTTCAGCATTCAGGCACGCAAGGCAGCTTCTCAGCACCTGGCCAGCTGCTTTCTGCAGGTAGAACAAGAACAAACACCTCCTGCTACAGCCCCACAGCCCTGACAATTGAGTGCCCGGAGCACTCAGAGTGGAGGAGGCTTTTGCAAAATCTATCCCTTAGGTATCAGGTGCAAAACTACCTCTTGTGTTTACAGCCTTTTACACTGTTATGGTGACTAGGTAGTCCCTTGGTCTTGAACAGCCTTCTGGACCAGGCAGTGGAGACTGCTAACATAATCCCCAATTAAAAAGTGCAGAGAACTTTAATCTTCTCTCAAACTGATACGCATAAAAAACACTCCTGTGAAATTACTGAGACATAGCAGAGGTATTAAACCAGAATACACAGAAGAAAATAAAGGTTAAGTTTGGCATAGATGAGTGCAGCATTCATAAAGCTGTGATCCTGTTTTGGCAGAGCTAACCCCTGTCCCCCCTATCCTCCATTCCCTGAGCCATATCTAAGCCTCCTGGAACTGCAACAAGCGGGTGAGAGGCTATGTGGGAAATCAAGAGTTGTGACAGGCTCCACTCTACAGCCAAAAACCATTTATCCAAAAGTTGAGCTTGGTTTTTCCTATTCTTTTTCTCTTGTGGACCATGTAGAAAATTGTACAGAACTGCTAGAATGTGTTACTTTTTTTTTTAAAAAAAAAGACAGTACCTCAGTAGCACAAAAGCAGGCTCAATGACCTTATCGCTGCTGCAAAACCTTTGCTTTATACCAATTTCTATATGCATCCCTTTAGACAAACATTTTACAACAAACTCGTTAGCTGTGAGGAGTTACAGATAAGACAGCAGCTTTGTTTTAATGTCAACAAAGGTTCCATCCACCACTGTATCCATGCTGGCTGATACTTTACATGTAGATCAGGGTGTAGGGCTGAACCCCTTCTCTGTCCGTGCTTTTGGCTGCCTGATACCCAGGGCTGCTGGCCCATGTCTGGGGTGCCCCCTTGATGCATGGGACCAGGCTGAAGAGCAGCTGTGGGGCAGCAGCATCTCCGTGGGGCAGGAAGTGGGCTGGCCTTGGTGTGACTTTCCATCCAGAAAACATTTTCCATCTCCTTTCCACCACCTACGAGTGGCTGCAGTACCAAAAACACCAAAACACACCCAAAACAAAAGCACCTCGCGTGCCTCCAAAAAGAGGTTTCTGCTGGCAAATGCTTCCTAAAAATAGCCCTGTCCTTGCCTGTGAGAGCAACTGGAGGTCACTTATAGAAGAGGCAAAGAACTCACTTTGCTCAACTCGGTTTCCAGCCATCACAGCGAGGACGGGAAGTTTTAAAGTTTAATTTCTGTGTGGTTCTAGCAAAACCCCAACTAGAGGCAGCATGGTTGGGCTTGATTCCCCTGCTAGTCAGAGCAGGAGCTTGCTTTCCAGCTCCCATCCTCTTTTTTTTTTGCAGGGAAGCAGGTAGGAGGAGATTCATTTGTTAATTAAATTTCCCCTGCCAATTTACATTACAAAGGAGAAATTGTTGCAAGAAGCTCACAAAAGTTTCATAACCCTTAACCTATTAAAGAAAGAGTTGTACGGCTTTTTTCTAAACCTGCCCAAAAGCACCATTGGGTTGTCCCAGCCCAAGTGACTAACAGCAAAAAAAAGTTCAGGAATGGCACAGCTGGGCTGAAAATCAGGAACATCTGCTCACAGAAAGTCAGGCGTTCACAGTCTCCTCTGGCTCCCCCTTTCATCTTTGGATTTTCTCATAAGTTCGTGTTCAAAGGGATGCCATCCCATGGGAAAATGACAAGAAAAAAACACAGACACTTACTCAGATAAGCCAGCAATAGTTGCAAGAGAAGAAAAATTCTTCATGGGAATCCCCCACATCTGAGAAGTAGAAGCAGAAATTCACCAGGGAAAAATACAGTGCTTTCAGCCCCACAGACAATGCCTTTTATCCATGTGGGAGCCTGCAGTTATCCAGTTTTCATTACCCACAGATGGCACAACAGCAAAGAATCATTAACAACGGCCAGAGAAAGTAAGAATAACAGCAGAAGGTGTAATTTTTTTCTTAAAAAGGTTTGTTCTGTTATAGAAATACAGCTTTTGAAAGAGGCCTGTTTAGTCCTGTGCCAGGCCTGGATGTACAGGACTGGCTCAGAATTCTCCTGCTCATTCCAGATCCCACTGTACTGAAAGAGAAAACACTTCCGTAGCAGAGACGAGAAATCCTCTGAACGCTGAGGCAACACCTGCATACTTGCAGGTCTTGTGACAGTGTAACACCAGCAATGTGCAGTATTACTTAAATCTCTCCAAAAAGCCATGCACCCCCAAGCAACAGCAGAGCAGACTTGCAGCATGCTGATGCAGTTGCAGCCTCGGCATTGACCTGGGTAGTTTTGGTTCCCCTAACTTCTTGCATGACCTAGCTACCCTGGGCTAGCTACAAAGCCTGTTCTTGCTCATCAAACTCCTAAGGGAGTCCCTCTCACCAGCCCTCAGAACGATCCTCCAAGGGTCAGGGATCTGCTCTCGTGCAGATGAGGGCAGTGGAGGAGAGCTGTTGCACTGCACTGCACCTCATGGGTGGTGGAGCTTCTACGAGTGCGATCACCACTGCTTTGTATGCTTGCACACTGGCCTTCTGGCCTGAGACATCCCACAGCCCCTCCTAGCAAACAGCAACTGGTGGAAATTCGGGGGGGATGCAGGGTGCCCTGCATGGTGGGGCCCAGGGAGCAAGGACCCCTGCAGCGAGCAAGGGGCCCAGCAGCAGTGCGCACACCAGCAGCCCCGGTGAGGAGGGTGCACCGGGAGCACCACGACCTGGCAGGGCAGGGAAAGCCCCCCGGGAAAGCCGGCAAGGGGCAGCTGCTTGGGGCGCTGCAGGGAAGTACCGACGGGCACGCCAGGCAGACGAGTACTTCCCCCTGACGTGGATAAACGCCAACTCCCCTCCCGCGGCGGAGGGGAGGGGAGGGAAGGGGTCGGCTCGGGAGGGGCTGGCCCGAGCCGATCCGCCCTCCCGCCCTCTCTCCCTCCCTCCCTCCCAGGGGCACCAAGCAGGACCAGACCCGTCGGTCAGGCTTTGAGTGGCTGGAAATTCCCGTCCTCGGTGGCTCCTCCCCTGCAGAAATCCCCTGTCCGCGGTGTATATGCGAAGCGCCGCCGCCGCCGCCGCTCACTCACAGCAAGCCGCCGCCATGATCAGTGCCAGCCGTTTCGCCGAGCCGCCGGTTATGGAGGGCTACGAGCAGCCAAAGAAAGACCGTCAGGGCGGGCTCCCGCTCGACGATCGCCACGACAGCGGCTTGGGTTCCATGAAGGAGGAGGATTACGGGCAGCTGGTGAAGGAGCTGGAAGACATACGCTTGCAGCCCCGCGAACCGCCCGCCTGGGCACAGCAGCTGACGGAGGACGGGGACACGTAAGTGGGGGTTTGGGAAGGTGGGGTCGATGAGCATGGACGTGGCGGGGACATGGCACGGTGGGAACGGGACAGGATGTGCTGCTGGCGGGGAGGCGCCGGCCTGGCGGCGGTGGGGAGGGAAGGGAAGGGAGGAGGAGGAGGAGGAGGCCGGAAAGTCCCTGGAGGGGCGCCAGGGAGAGGCGGCTCCGCGGCGCGGAAAGCCCCGGCCGCCGAAAGCCCCTGCTTGCGACACACGCGCATGACCCCTCGCCGGCCCCGCCTCCGCACTGGGGGGTTTAACGTGGGGTTTGAGAGGTTTGACGTGGGATGTTCAGGTTTTATTATTTCCTCCCCTGCAGTTTTCTCCACTTGGCGATTATTCACGAGGAGAAAGCCCTGAGCCTGGAGGTGATCCGGCAGACGGCCGGGGACCGTGCTTTCCTGAACTTCCAGAACAACCTCAGCCAGGTACTTGCACCTCCGCAGCCCCAGATACACATCATCCCCTGCCACCCCACAAAGGCTCTCTGGGGAACTGTCCCCCCCACCCCCAACTTCTCTTTTATTTGTTAATCAATGGAATCAATTAAATCATAGCCTGCTTGAATCAAAGCCTGCATTCAGGCAAGTCGCCAGCTGGCTCCAGCCAGCGTTACTACAACACTTCCTCTACCCCCAGAGTGGCACTTAACACCCGCATTTTTCAAATGTGATGCGATGGGTTGCATCCCTCTTTACTGGGATGTTAATGATACCTTTCATATAGATTGACTGTTGGGTATCCGGAGAACCCTAAGTTCATCACTTCCAGACTAAAGGTCAACTCTACAATATGTTGGGAAGCATAAAGAGCTGAGTTCATGGGGTGTGATTTTAACTGGGGGCACAAACCACCAAGCGGTTGAGGGGTCTGTCCAGCCAGATGTTGCTGCCAGGTTTGTGGCATAGCTTACAGGTCTGCTTTTTCTCTTTTGCCTGCAGACTCCTCTTCACCTGGCAGTGATCACTGACCAGCCTGAAATTGCTGAGCATCTTCTGAAGGCTGGATGCAACCTGGAAATCAGGGACTTCCGAGGAAACACCCCTCTGCACATCGCTTGCCAGCAGGGGTCCCTCAGGAGTGTCAGTGTCCTCACTCAGTACTGCCAGCCACACCACCTCCTCGCTGTCTTACAGGCAACCAACTACAACGGTATGGGCACGCTGCTGTACATCGATGTCGGGGTGCTGTGCTGAGGTTAGGGTTGGTGTTCCATAGAGCCCAAAGACCTCTGGAGAGGTGGAGGAGGATCATTACGCTTGACTGAGAGTTGAGAAGCCCAAAGCGCACAGAAGTGCCTTGAGTTCTTCAAAATGTCACTTAGAGGCCTCCTCACTGTTGATTATTGGCTCTGATGGCTTTGAATTTTGCATTTTTAGCAAGTAGGTCTGCAGAACTCCTTTTTTCTTGGGTTGCAATAAGTTGCACTCAAACACTGGAATGAAGCCTCTAAGAAATCTTTCCAAAATCCAACCCTGTTATTCATACTTACTGGAAGCTGGAAGGCTCTTATGGAAAACACCCTTTTGCCATGGATGAATCGCATCCCATCCTATTATCTTGATTTTAACTGAATACTAGGACATGAGGTTAAACTTACTCAAATTTTCCCTTAATTTGTGTTTTGCAGGACATACTTGTCTCCATTTGGCATCTATTCAAGGATACCTTGCTGTTGTTGAATACTTGCTGTCCTTGGGAGCAGATGTAAATGCTCAGGTATGTAATGTATACAGTGAATTTAACTGAGCTGGGCTGTGTAATTGTTAGAATCAACAGGTCTGTCACAGACTCTGGTTTTCCTAACATGCCAAACCTTGCGCTATTTTCATGCAGGAGCCATGCAATGGGAGAACTGCACTACATTTGGCTGTCGACCTGCAGAATTCAGACCTGGTGTCACTTCTAGTGAAACATGGGGCAGACGTGAACAAAGTGACCTACCAAGGATACTCCCCGTATCAGCTCACATGGGGAAGAGAGAATTCCAGCATACAGGAACAGCTGAAGCAGCTGACCATGGCCGACCTGCAGATGTTGCCAGAAAGTGAGGATGAGGAGAGCAGTGAATCGGAGCCCGAATCAACAGAGGATGAAGTAAGTAGCTATTTACGCCTTTTCAGGAGAAGGGCAAATCCTGCCCTTTGTAGGTTTTCTTGTGGTGCTCCAATGATCTCTTATCTATGTAACAGATGGGTATAAATTGCCCATAAAGTAAGATTGCACTATCAACCATCAAGCATATAAATAGAAAAAGAATAAAAGGTAAAAAATAACCTGAGGGAATGTTGCTTCATGCAACACCATTCTGTTTGCTGATATCTACAGAATCTGTGAAATAAAATTCAAGTTAATGGACGGTTTACTCCTCCCTAGCATTTGTTTTTCTAACGTTCTTAGTGCTGTTAAATGGCAAATGTAACCATTTCAGTGTAGAAATTTTCCACACTGCTGAAGTCAGGGCATGCAGAATTTGGCAGTTAGCCCAGAGTGGATACGATACTCCCAGTCAGAGTTTTGCATTAACAGCCTTTTGTTTTTTTCTTGCAGCTTATGTATGATGACTGCCTTATTGGAGGACGACAGCTGACATTTTAAGGCAGAGCCTTCTGTGAAAAGAAGTGACTGTGCACATATGTATAGAAAAAGAACTGACTTTTCATTTAAAAAGAAAGTCACAATGCAGAGGGAAGAATCAGGAGGGGGATACTACACTGCCCAGCAAGGAGCACATAATTGTGACAGGACGGTTCCAGATTCTGGCCTGTGTTTAAATACAGGAGTGGAATATGTAGCACCAGTAGGGATCTGTGATTATGCACACCATCTGATAAAGAGCCACACAGCCAGTCTTCTCAACCCTGTGAAGGTAGCTGACTACACATCTAACCTGCTATCAGCAAGCTCTCTTGTGGCATCAAGTACCACAAGGAATGAGTATCCTCTCATGACAAGGCAGGCATGTACCAGCACCCCATCTTCTCAGAGACTGTGTTAACTTGTGTTGGGCTGGTGGCACTGCCTGGACTTACCGACCAACCTTAGCTGCTCCCAGTGTTGTGTCCCAGGCAGAGGAGTCAAGCCAGGGGACTGGTGACCTCCTGGCTGTTACGAAAAACAGCAGTAATGTTAACTGTGGGCATTGGAAACAGTATGTTTCACACAATGTGTGTCATAATAGCTACACTTTTTAGCAATTGTATATTGTGTAAATAGTGTACATTTTTGTTTATAATTATTTTGGTACCTGTGAGATATGTATTTATTAAAAAAAGATTACCTGGTTTGTGAAATGGTTCATTGCCCACCTCATTGTCCTGAGATACCGGGGAACCCACCTGCTTTACTTTTCAAGAAACGTTCAACACCTTGTAGACCGATGGGGTCACAGGCTCAGGGGTTTGAGGTGGTTTCAGCAGCAGGAACACATCTAAGAGCGTGCAGCTCCCAGCTCTTCTGCTGCAGCTAATTTTGGAAGATGTGGGTGGCGTTTCCTGTGCCTGTGTCGGCAGGTGGGTTGTGGGGCTGGGGTTCCCTCTCTGACACCCAAGCACCAGGTCGCTGCTTCTACAGAGGGGCTCTGTAGCAGCATCTACCCGCCTTCATGGCACCTTTTGTTCCACCTCCAGTACTCAGCAGCTCCTGCTGGGACTTGCTGGTGGAGGCTGGAGTTTGCAACATTGCTTGCCCTCTTGTTTATCACCTGGCCCAGCTCTGGTTTGAACTTGGACACCTTTGGATTTTCCAAAGGGGATTTCCGCAGGAAGAGGGAGCACACACCCAAGAACACGTGCTGGGGCCTTCCACCCCTGAAATTCAGGCATGGGGCCTCCCTACCCTTCCTGCTGCAGAAGTTACAGCTCTTCCTTCTCCAATGCAGAGCAGTGGAGGATGCGGTTTTAACCCACTTCAGTTACTCCTGCTTGTTTCCCTCCAGCATTCTAGCTGATGGAATCACTTTGCTCAAATCCTCACCTGCACCTAATTATCTGTTGGCAACACAGGACTAATTGTAGCCACAGATTTTAACCCATTGTGTGACTATGCAGAGGGTGGGTTGCATAAAGGGTGACCATACTCCATTCCTTCTGTGCTGTAACCCCCTGGATGGGGATGGAGCATGGCAGAGCTGCTGATGCAGGACTGAGCTCTGCCAAGAGTGTTGGCCAGAGGACTTGTGTGCTGCTGGCACCCAGCCCAGCTCAGGCCACTGGAGAAGGCCAGAGTTCCAAATTACACAGGGACACCCATTCCCTTTTCTGCTCTGCTCTCCCGAGGTGTTCCTGACACATGACCTGCTCTAAGGAAGGGTCTCTGGTATGAGGAAGAGCACCGCAGCCGGCTGGGTGCTTCCTAATTTGCATGGGAGCCAAAGGCCATTGTGGAAAGGATTATATAAAATTGTCAGCCTGAGTCATTTTTATTTCCCTTCCACTCTCATTGCATGAGCATAGCCCAGGTTTATGCACTGGAACTTCCTCCTGACAGACAGGACCATGCCTGCCTTGCAAACCTGCAAAGTTTTCCAGGTTTGGGGCTGGGTAAGAATCTGCCAAACTCTTCTTCTTCTTGGGAATTCACCCTGCCCTCCAAGTGGCCATTAAAACTCAGCTGGGATTGGGAATGGAGGGGGGGTAGGGGGGTGGGATTACCACCTGCTGCAAAGAATCCCGAGTGATTTTCAACCTTTCTTGACTAAACACAGTGTTGCCACTGCTGGAAATAAAACATACAATGTTCCTCTAACAAGCTACGCTTTAGTTTCCCCTTTGCAAAACAGAAGCTGGAAATGCTGCCGAGGCTTTGCAGAGGCATTCACCTGCTATTGGTATCAGTGTTGTGGAAGTGCTCATGTACATGGCTGGCCATACTATGCAAATATTTAAATAGATACCATCTGAAAGCAAATTCTTTTTATTCAAAGGCCAGAGGGAGTGAGGAAAGAGCAGCTATCACTAGTACCAGGTTGGTCAAGTTTCAGAGGCAGCAGAAGGTTCCCTGCTGCCAATTGCAACATTTAGACAAACAGTATCTCAGGAAGGTTCTGTTACAATCTTGCAAGGATGCTATAATGACTTAATAAGTAAAGCAAACGCTCTACTGTACAAGGAAGTTTTGCAGCTAAACAAATCATTGCTCAGGTACCACATGCTGGTTATGCCACTGTTTGCCTCCGCCACTCATGCAACAGTAACCCAGTGTGGTATGTGGAGGAACCATAGGTAAAGCAAGTAGGACAGAGATGAATGTGAGAATATGTGTTTGTTAGCAAAATAGGTTGGGGCATGTCATGTATTTGTGCACTGCTAACATGGGGATATGCAGTGGGGAGTTTTGCCTGTTCACTTGATGACATAATGAGCTCAGCCACTGTTGGCCACCCCCTGCATGCCCAGTTTCAAATGCGTGCCCTTAACTGCTGCATGTCCACCCTGTCTCTGGGCTTTTCCACACCTATGTCTTCAGAAAGATCTGAGAGTAGTTTTGGGGATAGCCTGCCTTTAGGCTTTCGTGATAACCTGCCTTCTTGGCACTTTGGCAGATATGTTGCATGGTCCCATTTGCAGGACTTGGAGCAAGAACTCCTTATGCGTTTATTCTGCCAGCATCACTTTTTCCTTATTCAGCTGCCATGGCTGCTATTAGCAGAGCACAGTAGCTTGCTCTCACTTGTCTTACTACCAGTGTTTCCCTGTGCTCCCACAGGGTTCAAAATTCTCTCCCAGCACCTTTGTCACCTGCCCTGGCTGGCTCAGCAAGCTCCAAGAGTAGTCATGCTGCTGCAGATCAAGGTCCTCTGAAGTTCAGTTTTTGTTTCCTGCCTTTGACCTTCTCTCCATTAGTCTCCTTCCTTTCCTCAGCTCCTGACATGCATGTGTCCTCTGCTTTTACTGCCCTTGTGTGCGCCTCTGCCTGCTCTTCTCTCCCTTCCAGGGTGAGCACCCTTCCTCCCTCTTCTCCTGCAACACCAGCTCACCATGAAGTCATTCACCCATCATGACAATGCACAGCATGAGGCTACATTTCTGTTTTCAGCCTTTCTCTGCCGCCCATTCTTGTAAATCTCTTTGATAATCCCACAGGGATATTCCCATACTTCCTTATATTGCACACAAAGAGCTGAACTACCCATTCCTTCCCACACATTCCTCTTCCTCCTTGCACTACAGCTCCCTGCAGAGCTCCCTCATCCCAGCCACAACCCAGGGGCCACCTTCAGTCCTTGCCCCTCAGCTCACTCAGCATGAACCCTGGACTTCTCAAGAACCTTATGGTGGTGATTGATAGATAAAATGTAGGCTGTCAGGTCAGCAATGGCAGAGAGCAGAGACCAGGATCTGGTTGTCCCCCAGTAAATTGGGAACCCTTCTCTTCCATTCACTGCAGCTTTGGAAAGTGTTAAAAGCAAGGGCAAAAGGCAGCCCTGCACCTAGAGACTTGCATTGGGAGGCTGTGTCCTCCCACTAGCTCCAGCACCAGCCTGACCTTTGCAGTTATGAGCAAAGACCTTTCACCACTCTGCCCACCTTCTCACTCCGCTGCTCTCGGGTTATGGTACAGTGTGCTTCTCGCATGCAGCTTGGGCTGTGTGAGCCGCTTGATGCATAGGTGGGTGTCTCAGCTCCCTCAGCAGAGAGACATGGGATGGGTGGCCCTGGGGAGCTGCCTGCCTGCTGATAGGCTTGGCGATCATGAGAGGCCACAGTTCTAACTTGGGTGCCTTAACTCCTGCTCTCCTCCTCCTCCTTCAGTCTTCTGACATTAGAAAGGGGCTTCCTATTGACTACTTCATATTTTACACACCAAGAAGAAATGTAGGACCAGACAGGGGCCAATGGACAGTGTTTACCAACCATGAGCCTGGCATCCAGCTGCTGGGCAACATCCACCTGCCTGCTCCAGCAGGGCTTGATGCACCAGAAGGCAGCGAGGTCATCAGGACCCTTAACCTATACCCAAAAGTGGCAGCCCACTACTGCTGCCTTTGCCCTACAGCCTCAGTTCATATTTGGATGAGCAAGATGGTTGAGTGAGGAAAGGAAGAGGTGGAACTAGCAACAAAACCTGGGGAAAGATTGTGATCTCTGAGGAGAAGGAGAAGTATAATTTGTGAGTTGTTTTAATGGAAATATCTTCAATGTTGGTGGATTTTAGGCTGGGCAGGGGCTCAGCACAGATCATTTTTCTGCAGGAGTTTAGCTGTGGAAATAATTAAGCATCTGGTGTTTCTAGAAAAAAATATTGCAGAATGGAGTTCAGGGATAGCAGGGAGGACCCTTTCCCTTGAAGAAAGCTTGGCCTCACTTCAGGGGAGTGGAGGAAGGGCTTTTCCAGCATTACTGTGCTCCCAGTGCCTGTGCTTTGCTGGAGAATGAGAGCTATGTGGGATCTCAAGGGATGAGGAAGCAGGAAAGTCCTGTTCCCTTGCACAAGCCAGGGTGGCATACACTGCTGTGACCCCCACTACACAGCCTCTCCCTGTTTCCAGCCTGTCACAGCTCTGGCACCTCACACCTCTACGATCCTTCAGGCAGCTCTCTGAAATACTAGCATCAGGGCCAAAAGGCTCCCATTAAACGCTGACACATTTATCAGGGCACGATGTAAGAAGCCAAAGTCTGGAGGGGTTGAAGCCTCCCTGAACACCCTGGAGGTTTTCCTGCCCTTCCTCCCTCCGCTTGCTCCAGTGTTCAGATTTTCCCAGAATAGTCTCCCTGTCCAATTTTCCAAACAGGACTTTCCAGTCCCTGTCAGAAGAGAGCTGGGGTTTTCCCTGTTCACTCCTTTCTGGAGCTTTACCCCTTTACAGCAGCCACAAGCTATGGCACTAGGCTCCATTGCCTCTCCAGCAGTGGGAGTGCAGCCTCTTTCCTGCCCACCACCAGCCCCAAGGCTTCCCTGCTCTGAAGGAAGAGGCCTGCACCCTTTTAATTTCAATGCTTTTCTTATTCCCAGTTTTAGCTAGTTCAGATTCATTTTCCTGCCTACCTTTCAAGGGAAGCTCTCCATCCCTCTAGCTGAAAGCAAAACAAGAGCAAATGTGTGCAAAGTGTTGCAAGAAAGAGCCTTAAAACACAAGTATTTTTAACATACACACACACACAGTGAAGGGCACACAGCTACAATTACAGTGTGACAATTAACCCAGTTAATTATTAGCCCTGGATTTCAGTAGCTTGGAGGAGGGAGTTTCCTAAGGCCTTGCAGAAGATCTCTGTAAGCATTGCTGCTCTG